ACAATAAGGAACTCAACTTGGAAACTGGTCCTGTGTCATTCTTGGTTTTGGGCCTGACAGCAGTGGTGGGTTGCAGTTGGTACATCCTGGTACGCACTTACCGGTGAGGGAGTGTACGCATGGAGTGTACGGTGCCTATGTGACACTCCGCTGAGCAGCTGGAATGTCGTGGAGGTGTCATGGAGGTAAGGATGCATGCACATACTGCATGCTTGTGGGGGATGCTGGGCCCTATTGCACTGTACCAATTGCAACGGGATCCGGAACCCACCACTGACTGACAGCCACCAATTTTCAGTTTTCAGGTCCAAATTTCCAATTCAACAGTCTTTGCCATCTTAGTCTCCACTGAGTTGTCATGATATTATCTTCCCCCTCCCCAAGATTTCTTTGTCCTTTACTAAATTCAATCTGAAAACCAGTGTGGTGTAGAGGTTACGATACTGGACAAGAAATGAGGAGGTTAGTAGTTCCAGTCTTATCTTAAACTAGACTATAGTCACCTCTCTATCTCAGCTCTAGGTAGAAGGTTATGACAAACCATTTCTGAGATCTTCCCAAGAAAACTGTATGAATTAATCCACACAGTGGCCAGGATTCAACAACAACTCAAAGTCACCAACCTCAACCTCTTCAACCCACTTCCTTTAATCTTCTGGTAGCCAAACTCCACTTGATCTTTTTTTCCCCCATAGTTTTGCATCTGTAGCACTGTTACATTTGATGAAAATTTAAACATTTTGTAATATTAATCAGGATTATATCAGTGCTTTCCATAGTATCTAGGACTATGAAATGATCTCCTAACAGTTCTCCCTCTTCTTTTTCTTTTTCCTTCACTCATTTTTTGGGGGGAGGTTGACTTAAGGCTTCTTAAATCTTGAGTGAAAGGCAAATGAGAACCAAGCTTTTCAAATCATGAACAGTATTCAATGACAGAGCTGGAAGATGATAACTTACATTTCTCTAACACTTCAACTCGGAGGCCATCCAAAATGAACCGATTGAAAGTTGCTTCAGCACTAAGAAAACAAAGTTAACTTTCCCACAATGCAGAATTAACTGATAGAGGGCTGCTGTTGTGTTTTTTGCAATTATTTTACAAAAAGCTTGGAAATATTCTGGTCTAATCATATATAAATATGTCAATAATGTGGTCAACACCCATATGCATAGAACAACACATATGCCATTTGGCAAGAGCAGCCTATACTTTCCATGAGTGCATAACTCAATTTTATTTTGGTGTGAATGAAATGTTGAAAGTAAATTCCCTTTCATCAAGCAAATCTGGTTGAAAATTGTCAAAGATATCTCTGCACAGGGCTGATAAAAGGGCCCATTGCCAGGAGAGAGAGAGAGAGATGGAAGCAGGGAGGGAGGGAGAGAGAGAGANGGTCACATGGGCAGCAAGCCACTCCCACAAAGGAGGCCACACCCACAGAGTAAGTTCGAACAATTTTTGAAACCCACCACAGATGTGCATGCATCTGTACACTATATGCATATTTCTTTGTATAAAGCTTTCAGTTAATTGTCATAGGAAATAGTATTAGTTGAATTAGACCAGGGGTCCCTTACTTCCAGTCCTTGTACTAGCACCGGTTCGTGGCATGCCAGAAACTGGCACAAATAAGTGAAGGCCCATCCATGGGATGCAAGCAGCATGTGCAACCACTCCAGTCCATGGAAAAACCTTTCCCTATGGAACTGGTCCCTGGTGCCTAAAAGTTTGGGGGCCACTAAATTAGACAGTTCAATATGACAACATTTTAATCAGACCAAACCAGTGGCTATTGCTGTTATTTCTTTAAAACTACAGTGAGATAGGCAGTAAATAAATTTAACAAATAAAAATTTACTGTCATATAATCACTGAATGATAGTACGTATTAAAATATTTATCAATAAAATCATCAGAAATAACTTCTTAAATTAAAGTAAATTAATACAGGATTACCCAACAATTCAAAGTCAGTAATTAAAGAAACACATCTAATTGTTGTTTTGTTTTAATTTTCACCTTTTTAAATGGGGGGAAAAAATCCCAATAATTTAAAAACGTGTATTAATTAATTTACAGAAATTCACTACCCTGTAAACGTAATGTACGTTGTACATTAAGGACTAGAAATTCACTACCCGTAACTTGAAAGTAGTGAGATGTTCTCAAGGAACTATCTCTGAACAATTTTAGTATGAAGAGAAAAGAGGATATAAGAATACTGTTTCTTAGATGTCATGTACAGTATTATAAGTGAAACACTACAAACTGGAAATTGGCAAATGTTGTAGACACATTCTTCAAAATATTAATTGTATAAAACAGTGTTTCTCAACCTTGTCAGATTGAAGATGTTTGGACTTCAACTACCAGAATTCCCCAACCAGCCTCTTAGAGTTGAAATACATACATCTTCAAACTGCCAAGGCTGAGAACCATTGATATAAGCCAATAGAAGACTTTAGACTATCTTCCAAGGAGGACTTCCAAGGAGGACTGATTATTACAATAATCAATCTAAAATTTAATAATACAAGAATTGGGTCTTTGCTTTTCAGATGCAAGGAGACTCAGGGGAAACAATTTCCAACATGTCCATTCCACTTTGTATGAACTCTGGCATTGCAGAAAACTGTTTCTGAAGTGCTTGAAAGTGTTTTCATCCAGTTATGGTCACTACACTATAAAAAAGATGTTGAGATTCTAGAAAGAGTGTAGAGAAGAGCAACCAAGATGATTAGGGGATTGGAGGCTAAAACATATGATGAATGGCTAGTCTATCGAAGAGAAGGACCAGGGGAGACCTGATAGCAGAGTTTCAATATTTGAGGGCCTGGTACAGAGAGGAGGGAGTCAAGCTATTGTCCAAAGCATCTAAAAGCCAGACAAGGAATAATGGATGGAAACTGAACAAGGAGAGATTCAACCTAGAAATAAGGAGGAACTTTCTGACAGTGAGAACAAACAACCAATGGAACAGCTTGCNTGTTGATGTGCTTATGTGTTTAAAATAAAAATTTATAACATAAAAAAAGAAAAGAAAACAAGCTCAGAGAATACCAAGGACTCCTCATTTCAACCCTAAGGTACAAATATTCTCCTGTAACAATAGTTTGCCTCCCTGTTAACTTAAGATCATACTTCTATTTCTTGTACTTTGAAGCAACAGAGAATTGGCCTTCAACCTTTTTTTTTTTTTGAGTTATACTCACACATTTCCCCTCATCCCTTTTTCAGTTCTAAACATGCATCATTCTCTAGATCTTTCCTCATAAGTCTTGGTTTATTGTCCTCATTGTCACTCTCAGGACAGAAAATTCAAAGTGGGGTGTAACCAATGTAGCATATTGTTGAAGAATTTCTTTGCATAACTAATACAGTAATTTACAATATTTGTAAAATGTCCACATTTATCCTCGCCGGGATGCAACAAAGCATTTCGAGGGGGGAAATTGTTCTGTTGAAACAGTCTAAATCTGCTTTTTAGTAACAGTTTCTCACTGCTGATGTGTAGCGGCGGATCAACTAAACTTCTAATTTAAGCATGTTGGTACCAAGCCAGGTACCCCCCGTTCTGTATCTTTGTCTTTGATGGATGTTTCTTTTAAATGAATAATAAATAGAATTTGCATTTGTTTTTGCTGAAGGTCATGTAATTTTCTATTCTTTACTTATTGACTTTAAGTAATAAGTAAGAATATTTTGAATTGTATTTCTCTCTTCCAGTTTTACAATTTGCAAATCTGATAAGCATTCGCCTTTTTATTCCGGTACTTAATGAAAAGTTTAAGTATATTTAGCCCAGAACTAAAACTTAAATACTACATTACAATTTGATAATAACCTATTTACAAGCATTCTTTGAATACAATTTCCAAACCTGCTTTGACATATCATTCGTCTCATGATTAATTAGCTAATTTGCTAAACAATTTCATATATTATATGCCTCTTTTATATGTTTTCTTTTAATTTAAATTTACTTCAAGTTTTTTCTGCAACTACACTGACTTCTCTTGTTTTATTTTCCTCTCATTGGAATTATTTATTTTTTTCAGCGTCACTTTTTTAAAGGAATTTTCATCTCTTTTTGCTACATTTCTCTTCTCATGCCATGAAATCATGCTTATTGTTGTTCTGAATTTATTAAAATGCTTTCTTAAAACTCATAGTTATGAATTGGATTACAACCAGATTCGGTTTCTCTTAATATCAGAATTTCAGTTCTCTATCAGCTTCCTTGAATGATAGCTGATTATTTTGTCCATTTCTCCATCTTTCGAAAAATAAAGTTGAGACTGAGGTAACTCAGAAATTTTCTGAATGGAATGTATCTGGCACAATTTATCTCCCAATGGACTCATTAAAATTCCCTATTACTCTTTGAAAGTTCTGTCATTTAATTTTTATCTGGTTGAAAGGCTGGTAGTAGATACTAACAGAAGAGAGGTATTTATTCCTTCTTATAGCCATGGTGGCACAGTGGTTAGAATGCAGTACTGCATGCTACTTCTGCTGACTGCCAGCTGACTGCAATTTGGCAGTTTGAATCTCATCAGGCGCAAGGTTGACTCAGCCTTCCATCCTTCCTAGGTGGGTAAAATGAGGACCCAGATTGTTGGGAGCAAATGCTGACTCTGTAAACCAGAGGTCCCCAAACTTGGCAACTTTAAGATTTGTGGACTTCAACTCCTAGAAGCAGAGCTGGGAGTTGAAGTCCACAAGTCTTAAAGTTACCAAGTTTGAAGACCTTTGCTGTAAACTGCTTAGAGAAGGCCGTAAAGAACTGTGAAGCGGTATATAAGTCTAATTGCTAATCCTATATTTTAACTCTCCAAAGGTTCAGCTATTTCCCAACATCCTTCCCTTGGATTTCTGCCTAGACTGTCCTGTTCAGTGACTGTTATTTCAAACATGAGGATCATCCTATTCAAATCTCCTGTTTAATAAGATTAAGCCTCAGCTATGCATACTAAATCATATTTGCCTTCCTGTAATGCATACAAGCTCATCTTATTTTCTATACACCGATTATAAAAATGTAGACAACAGAAAACACAAATACGGTAAGTCAGCGCTCCTCTTGATATTTCATTGAGTAATTGAACAGGCACCTGTGATTATCTCACTTGCCGACTGCAGTAAACAAATCTTTATTTCTGGGTTTTCATCTTTAAGTCCCATAAGATCAGTTTAAAGCCCTCGTGATGAACCTTGATGTCTTTTGTCACATGCATTGTTTCCAGCCTTTCTGATATACAGCCAACTGCAGCATATAGCTAATATTGTAATCCAGCTGGCTACAGATATCAAATCCCTCCCATCAATATTATTATTTTTTATAGCAAGTCATTCAGTGACTGTATTCTTCTTCCTTTTCCAATTCTCTCCTGCTGCTGAAAAGAATAGAAATATTTCCTTATTATGTAGATCCTAAAAATTACCAAAATCAAACTGGCCACTACTGTAGACTCTCTGAACAAGAAAATGAGTCCTTAAAATCCGGACTAGCAATTTATCAAAATTAATGCATATATATTTCCATACATGGCATCTATTTATTGCTACAAAGAAAATAAATGGGCACCCCATTGTTCCTGGGTTTACTTGCACAGATAGATTAACTACTGTATTCAGCAACATGTGCATTTATCACCATGGAACAATTTATAGTCATCAGTAACTCTACCATTAAACTATTAAACAACTTTAAATTATCAAACTCTTATAGAAAATAAGAGGCAAAACAATATAGTGTAGGGCAGGTTTTTTTCTGTTTTTTTTAAACTGTTGTACTAGTGCCGAAACTGGAACACAAGTGCATGTGCTTGCACCAAAGCACCGGAAACCTGAAGATTAGCTGGGCGGCATGTGCATGGCTGTTTTTTGGCTGGTTTGGGCCATTTTCAGACCATTTTTCAGGCTATTTTCTGGTCAAACCCAGAACCAGCCAAAAATGGCTTGAAAAATGGCCTGGTATTTTGGTGTTTTTGCCATTTTTCGGGCCATTTTCAGGCCGTTTTCTGATATACTGGTGCATGCGAAGACCAAGCTGGCTGGCGCACATGTGCATACTGGAAACCAGAAGAGCAGCTGGTAATGGTGCGCGGGTCCATAGAGAGGGCTCTGCGTGCCACCTCTGGCATGCATGCCATAGGTTCGCCATCATGGCACTAGTCTATATGGATCACTTCATCTTTTAATGTGCATTTAAAAAAAGAGAAACATTCAGTTTGCAAGTTGATTATCCATTCCTGTGCCTACGTTTTATCACATAAGAAAATGCGTACTATTTTAAAGTGATATTTAAGTGCATGTTTCAGAAAGGGCAGGGAAGGTTTTTTTTTTAAAATTTGCATTTGACTGTGGTTTAGTTCCGTATGCATTTTTAAATCAATGTCTACATTAAACATTATTTATCATCTACATTTTATCCATTTTCAAATTTCGTAATTCCGTTTAAGTAAATTAAGGAAAAGAACCTATGTAAATGAAAACATTTATGAAAAAGATGTGCAAAATGCATTATACGTGCCCGTGTGGGGAGCGTGAATGCACAGAGCATGGGGGGGTGGGGGGGATGCATGCGAAGGCACACATCGGCATAAGCAGGGGTGGAGTGTGTGCAGAGGGTGCACATATGTGCAGGGATGGGACACATGTGAGAGGGGGAACACACACATTGCATTTTTGTGGCCCGGGCACACATACACACTTGGAAAAGTTTAGCCATCACTGGTATAAAACCAACAGCAGAAAAGATGAGTCAACCGCCTTCCACTGTAGAGTAGAAAAGTTGCCATCTAAGAACAGGCAGGGTGCCGGGGTGGATTCAAGCAATTGTTAATTTAGCTATGATAGTGATGAAAGAAATGTCCTTCTGGGTTCGGCTCCAAGTGGTGCTCCAGGACACTGGAGACATGGAGGCTGCTTGGAAAGATGGTTTATTGGTGAACAGGACCACATGGCTTGAGTCGTGAGCAGAAAAGGTGATCACATGCTTCAATATTGGTGGAGAAGAAGAGAAGGGTTGAGGGAAGGGCTTGCTAGGCTTTTTATAACCTGTTCAGTTCCACCTCTCTGTTTCCTGTTCCTGTGTAAGAAATGTATTCTGATTGGTTGTCAGACTCCCATGGGGCCATGCAGGGGCAACTCTCTAGGCTGTGTTTTGAATCCAGGTTTGGTTGAGTTCTCAGATGCCATGTGGTCAGTTGGGTAAAGTTCCTTAATCCCATCCCCCTGCAGCTGAAGTGGAGAAGTCCTTATTATGTAAAGTGGACTAGCTTGGCCTTCTTAATGGCCCATTGACAAAGGGGGGATGGGCAGGAAGCTACAGGCAGCTATTCTGTCTTTTAAAATATGTTTCTTTCTTTTCACATCCAGAGAAATATTCAGCCTTTTTAATATTTCCTAGGATATTTCATTTTTCTGGGAGAGGGCTGGGTGATAACTTCCTACAATAGTATTTGGTTTCTGAGCAGCATCTACAGCTTCCGACCATGCATGACTGAGCTATGTCTTGGCTGCCCTTTGGCTGGCTTTTGTTCTGGTTTCTGATGAAAGCAGGTTTTGTCACTTCCATCATTTCTGAGTTTCAAAGAATGCAAATTAAACGTTGATTTATGATGGACCGGAAAGCATTTTTTAAAAAAAATAGGAAATGAGGCCGAACTACAAAATCCTCAAATTAAAACTTGTAAGGGAATGTGTTAGAATTCATGGTCTTGTGATGATGGCAGTTTTGTTGTTTAATCCTGATGCATGCACCCTGCCTCCCCCCCCCCCCCCCCAGCAAGTTGTTCTCACTTAGCATTCAAAGCGAGGGTGCTGCCAAGCATTTTAAATAGAAGTCGACTCATTTGCATGTTAATATTTGCGTTGGATAGTTTTCTCTCTTTCTTGGTTGTGCCTTTCCTTGACAGACATTGCATTTTTGAGCTGCGTCAGAAAACAGAAACCTTGATTGTAGGACAAACAAGTATGATTTGCAGTAGCGAGAGAGATTACTAAAAGAATGCAGATGTCATTTGGTAGACAACAGGAAGTACTGGGCAATAAAATAGGTGTCCTCTAAAACACGACAAAAGGAGGTGTTTTTTTTAATATAAAATTCGGATTTGTTATTACCTTATCCTAGGGCTGAAGGACAGGCCAAGGCCACCCAACTGGTATCATGCCTAAAGTGGAACTGGAACTCTTAATCTCTCAGTTTCTAAACTCAACCACAGCACCAAACTAGTTTTTATGTGTAATCCATTTTCACTGGCCATAATGATAGATCGGTTGAGAAGTAGGGATCAATAAAATATGGAAGAGCATTTTTACCCCTTCCATTCTTCATTTGGGTAGTTTGCCAACTCTTGTTCTAGTTGATTCCACCTGTTTACATTGATTACTGGATTATTCTATTCTAGAAATAGAATATATTTATTTATTGGCCAAATTCGATAGGACACACAGGAAATTTGTTTTTTGTGCATATGGTCCCAGTGTATATAAAGAAAAATAAAATAGAATACATTAATCAAGAATCATAAGATACAACACTTAGTGATAGTCATAGGTTACTGTGGTGGCCCAGTAGGTGCCATTGGAGCTGCCACCAGACTCCGACAGCGAGGGGCCCTTTGAGTCGGTTCTGGAGGATGTGGAGGACCCTGGTCAGGGTTCCAACTCCAAGCATGGTGCAGAAAGGCTGGTTGGCCACCAGGAGGCACCTGAGCCTTGGAC